GTCGAAGTGGCAGTAATAGTGGCAGTAGTCGTAATCGTCAGATCAAAGGCTGTGGTAGTTATTGTAGTGGTAGTTGTAGTAGCCAGGATGAGATGGTGTTTCAGGCTACAGATCTTGGTTTGTGGGGCTTTGTAGGGGCAGGCTTGAACTTCGTGCTTTCCGACGAGCCACTTAAGCCACGTGCCGAGTTCAAGATAAGAAGCTCAGGTACAGTACGAATCATCCGGCTCATGCGGTTAGTGAAGCTCTACAAGGCACGGTATTCGCGCTGTGGTGTGTTGAGCCGCAACCTGCACTTCCCTGGCAGGCTTATTGGGTCGCGATGGAAAAGAAGAAGGAAGAGGAAGCAAGGAGCGTTCACATAGAAGGTCTATGAATTTCGGTTGATGGAGGCTTCTCTGATTTCGTCATTCTCACCTGCAGCTGGTCAGAAGAATGCCAAAGGTCGCGCACACACCATCCGTACGTGCTTCGCATGCACTGCATGCATTGGAGGTAGACAGTGTCCTAGCGGCGAGTGGCAGACATGACAGTGGACCGCCAGCCTACGAGGAAGCAGAAGCTGCTGGAGCTGAAACCGGGCGAGACCATCCAGGATGCATCTGCGAAGGGCACTTCGGGGTTGTTGGATATGCCCCATGGGTGCTTTTTGAAGCGGCTTAGGCCGGGGTCTCGACAGACACCACGGAATTTAGTTCGTAAGGGTCTGGAGTTCAATCATTCGGTGCCCTTGCTTGAGCGGTGTCGGGCTCCAACTTCATGTTCACCTGTCGGATGTCGAGCACGGCTCAATGGTTAATGTAGGGGCCTAAATAATCACCGCTACTAGTTTGGGGGCTCCTCATATATTTATCATATAATATACCCCAAAACCCCATTATTCTAATCAAGAAGGCCCCTATATTTATGGCTTTGGGAGTGCATGCAAAGGGGCACAGCTCAAGGCTGTGACATAGCCTACTCGCTCGCGAGATTGCAATACTATCCAGCTTTCATATAGAGCAAAGAGCCCTAGACGCTACTATATGTTTTCAAGAATCACGCGAAGGCCTTATCAGCCCCTGGGGCTTCAACCTAGCAATTCATACCCGTAACATGTGCGGGCCAGCGGGAATATGGTCCCCGGGGCTTTTAAACCGATGCAGTTAACAGCTCGGAGCTTGAGCGGGATGAAGGCCGCAAAGTTCCATGGCGGTGCAATCTCGCATTAGACATTTCTGCGAGACAACATGGGCATGCTTCTGTCCCTTGGCTTTGTGGACATAGACCTGTGATAGCTGTAGAGAGAGAAAACGTTGACGGTATTCGTCGCATAAACGCATCACTGCTCTGAGTGCCCTCACCTCCAACGACCACGCCCAGAGTCCTCGCAGGAGCCGGCAGAGTCGAAGTCCGAATTTCAGGCCAGCCCACTTTTCTTTAGGGTTTTGGGGTATGGTATATAACTATAATAAAGGCGCCACTTTTCTGCCCCAAGAGTTCGAGAAGTCAGTGCTGACGCGCAAGCCTTCGGACCTTCTGGCCCTGTCTGTCCGCGTCCTTTCGACCGTCGCTAAGACTTCCGGAGTTGTTGACCCTAAGCCCTAAACCCCAAGCCCTTAACCCTAAACCCTAAGCCCTATAAATCCTAAGCCCCCCTGATCCAACCCTTCGGCCAGGTGAGACAGGACGGGGACGACTCGGTCCTCCCTGCATGTCTTGGTCCGCCTTTTTTTTTTGGTAGGGGGGGATTTCCCAGAGCGGGCAAGCTAGAGCCTAGTTGGGCCGAACTGCTGTAGAAAGTTGCGATTTGTTTGTTAGTGCAAGGGTGGGGGAGATTCGTTGCTGGTTTCGATGATCTCCCTAGAGACTCGGATTTTTTCTCTTGGGCCCGCAAAGTCTGGAGATGTCAGTTCCAAAGCTTTTCTAAGTTGGACTTGGTCTTCGGTTCTTTGCGGTTTAGGGTTTTGGGGGACTTGTGGCGGGTGGTCGAACTTGTTGTGTTGTGGTACAATATCTGGAACAAGATGTGCCAATTCGGACACACACACACACAGACGGGCGAAACTGAAGGGCAGAGACGGCCAAGAACTCCTCTCTCCAGTGCCAGGGAGCACTTCGAGCTGGTTTGCTCACCACCTTAAACCTTCCTCGTGAACTGCAACCCGGAGCCCAAAAGTCGAAGTCTAATCCTACGGCGAAGCCTCTAGTCCGTGCGTCATACTGCCTTGGGCTTTTTTCATATGTGAAGCCACGATCACGACAATCCTCATGGCAAGCTGCAGCTTTTTGCCTAGGACGACTTCGAAGGCGAGGATACTCAAAGAGAGGAGGAGCGGGAAGCCAGAGCCTGCACTGCATCGGCGTCCATGAAGAGATCGAATGCAGCCTGCCACGAAAGGCTGTGCTTCTTCGGTGCCATCCCTGACAGGAAGAGCCGAAGCAAGAGACGCGCGTGGGCAAGAAGCTCTCGGACCGATTTCTTGGGAGAGAAAAGAGTCGTAGTACACATGTTTAGGCGGCTTAGACGCCAGGGTGTACAAGGTCTATATCTTCCGTGCTGACTTGCAGCTCTTGCAAGCGGAGGACATGACGACTCGCAGAGTCATCGTTCTCGTGTTGGCAGGGCACTTGGCAGGTGCTGCTGTGCTGAGGTCAGGCCTCGAGAAGAGCAGGGGCCAAGCAAGTATTGAGCATGATTGTGCAGACATTGAAACACGGCTACCCGGGCCGAGATTGCATGCTCCAGAGTCGCTTCTGTCTGTCAGCCGGAGCACCCACCGAGGTCATGCTGGTGGTCTTGCCGCAGTTCGAGCCATCGGGAAATATGTTCATATCCACTGCTGATTTCCAGGACCTACTGTGGCTCAGAGTGGGTTTCTCACAAGAGCGAGCACATGCGCGTTTGGGGAATTCATGAGCGGGCGCATGCGTGTGTCGTTTCAAGGGTGTGGATGCACGAATGTATATGTACATGCATGCACACAAACTCCCACACAGACACACACACACACACACACACACATTTTCGCATGTCTTTACGTAAAGCTGCTAGCTTGCCAGACAGAGAGATGGTCACTTACATACATCCAAGCTGTATAGGCCCGATTGACACATGGCCCAGCACCTCAGCTACCAGGATTCTGCCAAGTTCGCCGCAGATCTGATTTATGAAAGGCGGTTTCCAGTTTCCTGAGCTTGCCGATCCTTTCAGATCCTTTCAATATATCTTTTCTTAGCACAACTTGCAGCTCTGTTTCGACGGACAGACTTCTGGGTGCGCACACACTAACAAGATTTGCTCGTGCCACATGCCGCAGGTGGAGGTCCTGGTGTGGCGGCCACAACACCACAGCTGAGTTGGAGCCCTTCTTGCTGTGCTCACTTCGACTGGCCTGTTTCCACTGATCTCGCGTTTCATGACATGAAGACAGTCTTTGCTAGCCAGTCTTAGAGTACTTCGTTACCAAGCACATTGCTTGCAAATCTGCATGTTCTTGACAATCTTCGGATCTGTTCCAGCGCCTCGTCATGTAACTTAGTGAACTCCAGGATGATGAGGACCTCCTTCAAGGCGCTCCATGCTTAGAATACATCCCCAGGCCTTGGTGTTTCGCCGCCCTGCAGACACCCACGGACAATCAGCAGGAGCACTACCGCCGCTCGGTCAAAGGATCCATATGCTATATCCCAATGACCAATGGCTTATGGGTTTCAAAGAGTTACCACGGCCTCCAGGACTGTGCCTCTAGGGTTTAATTATATTGTTCAAAAATGATAATCACACCTGGTCATGGGCATCCTTACCACGATGTCGCATCATGTTCACCTCAGCATCAGGGCGACAGTCAACAGGCAATAGTCATCAGTAGCACTTTTGTGTACTCAAGCTCAGAGTTCAATAGGACCTCCTTCCATGCGTGACGTTCGTCTTCGAAAGGTCCTGGAAATTCGTTGAAGCCCACTCTGCCACTATGCGAATTCAGATCCTGCCCCGGCTTTCTGTTTTGCAGCCGTTGAGCAGGAGACTCATATCATTGTTCTCCTGAGAGCATTGGCTCTCTTCTGCTGTTCGTCTGAAGCTGAAACTAAGTTTAGATTCAATTGGAAATTGTGGTATAAGAATCCAAAAGGCAGAAGATGCATCGAATCCAAGCATTCGGCAACATCGTTTCTTTCCGCTTGTTGGTGGCCTTCGGTGTTTACCTACGCTTCCTTCGAACAGCACTAGTCACTAGGCTCACTTTACCTCACAATCACTAAACCCTAGACCCTAAACCCTAAGCCCCAAACCCTAAACCCTAAACCCGAAACCCGAGCAGCTGAGGAAATCGGTACGAGCTGGAGGCTGTGTCTTCGAGCCTGTATGGGAGTTTCCGAAGTAAGGGGGACCTTTTTTTTGGGGGGGGGGGGAGGTCCTTATAATATGGATCCTACTATTTGAAGTACTATATAAGGGTCCCCTATTTTCGGAACCCCCCTTATCTTGCAGCTTGTACGATGCAGCATCTGTCAGAATTGTCAAGTTTTTTTGGTTGGACTCGAAGCTGAAAGTTGGTCGGTTCTGTTTACACCTGGTCTGGGAATTGTCGAACCTTCCGGGACGTTGTTGTTTGGCTTCTTGGCCTGCATACGTTGGGACTCGGGAGGCTGCGCTGCTGAACTTTCTGCACGTGCACATCTCGGGCAGCTTCTACTACCGGCTCTACTGGGTAGGCGGGACAAGAGGGAATCCTCCTTGTAAGGGTTCGGTAACGTTACACCAAGGGCAAGGAAGCAAAGTATGCCACCACCGGGGCGCCTTGAGAGTTGGAGGAGTGCTACGGATCTGGTCTACTAAAAATTAGGGTTCCAAGCCATCTTCAGGCACTCACCATGGATGCGTCGCTAAGTATCGGATTCTAGCTGGCGTGGCATTGCAATCTTACTATAAGAATATTCCGATAATATTACTACCCCTCATGCCAGGAGCGACCTCCAGAAGGTGGGTGGACGCTGCTTATCTCGGACAGTTCCCAACTCAGCACAAAGCGGCCTGCACGGAACCGACGGAATCCCTACATCCTACATGTTCTGTTTAGAACTGCTGCTCTCCCCACATTGTTTCAGCAGATGGCATATGGTTCCGAGAGCCACATGGTACATAGTGCTACTCTCGCCGTCATCAGTGATGTTTCATTCTGATCGCGACTGATGAACAGTTCATCGATCAGCGTGGTGGCGACTGCAAATAGTACTGCCGACGCCCACATGTCTGGAGCCTTCTCAGGCTGTCCCCGCTGAACCAAGAGCGCTTCTTGGGGCAGGCAGGGCCCCTCTGCCTTAGATTAGAAGCCTTCGGGTGCCATGGGGAACTAGATTTCGAAATCGGTTTGGAGAATCGGAAATGGTCTGTGCTTCTGAAGTCTGCAGAAGCTTTAGCTAAAGCTTGCAAGAAACCTGTCCAGGAACGCGTAGGGGGCCGTGCCCCGGAATTGCTGTAGGCCCCTGTCGTCTGTGCCCGGATGATGTTCCCGATGAGCGATGCACAGCGCCAGGATCTGTGGGTGAATCCCGACAGCCTCGGCGCAGCTCGGTTGTGTTCAGCTGCCTCAGCCTGCAGTTCTCACGAAACTTCGTGGATGTGTGTTCCGTCAATATGGGAGAGGCCTGGCGAAAACTCCAGAATGTGAACGACTCTGTTGACCCTCTGCGGATCCAAAGCCAGTAAAGAAGCGTAGAACATGACTTCAGTATCGCCTCCTGAGTGCCGAGTCGCTGGGTTGAAACACTGATGCCTGCTACTGTAGATAGTGAAATCCTCATACAGCAATATAACGAACATCAGGCTACTAGTCTTCGTTTCTCTTAGCCCGAGAACCACTGCGATTAAGCGGTGCTAGGCTTCGACATCGGGATTGTGGCCATCTTGCCCATATAGTCCGCAGCGATGGCGGGATGGTGCTGGCCATGACAAGTACTTATGAGTGCAATGATTGATTACAGTTATGTGTGTATGTATATACACACATATATGTTTATATTCAGGGCCGAAATTTTGACACCGGCAGTGGCCAGCATAAAGCAGAGACAATTACAGAGCGTCCAGATCAATGGAATCGAGAACAAGCTCGTTCTCAGCAAGCATCTATTCCCAGGTGGTTTGGGATGGCGTCTATGCACGAAACGATTTCATGCAGGGAAGTGCCGCACCTGCTCGTTTACTTCCTTGCACCGGACGGCCAGGAATTCCCTGCAGTTTTTTTTGCCGGAGGGTATAGTTCTGTGCATTTCCGGCTCCATCGACATGGATATGATCGGAACCGTGAAACTTGAAAGGTCGACAGGTTCTCTCTCTGTCACTGTTGTTGTTCGCATAAGCATTGTATGGACACGAACCTGCCGCGCTTCCTTTGCGTGCCTTCGCACTTGCTGGACAGGCGGTTCAATCCCTGCCAAGTGTTACGAGAGATCGGTCCGGGAGCTTGGGCAGAGACGCATTCTTGAAACTAGTGGGAAAGCCAGTGCCAGCAAGATTCTCTGTGTTCGAAGTTACGGTCCGGTCTATCATGGAGAGCCTGCTAGACGACACTCAATGCATCTGCGTTGTGCTTGCTTATCTATCTTAAGTCTTTTTGCTCAGACATGCGGCCAGATCCCATGCCGGCAAGCAAAACGCCGCCTTCTTGAAGCTGATGTTGCCTTTTCACAGACAGCACATATCAACACTTGCCTGCTCCCAAAACACGTGATAGGCTTTCCGCTAAGTCGGTTTTAATATCGATTCCCGTCTGAGTTGAGCCTAAGAAGCTGAAGCAGAATCACACCAACCCATATGAGGCCACATGCTTCGGGTCAACGTCATATACACGTTTTTCTAAAAGGGTTTTGGCCACAGAGGCTTAATATCCTTTGCAATGCTCCCGAGGTTGATCAACGTTTGGCAGGAGCAGTGCCGCTCCGCAGTGGGTATCGTTGTGCAGCCAGCAGCTGCCTCAGTCACTACAGCACTAAACATTTTATAGGGGGAAAAATAATTTTTTCCCCCTATAATTGTTTAGAAAAGATATTTTCCCCCTATAATATGTTCACTACAGCACCAAGACAGCGAGTAGCTACAGGTTAGATTGTGCTCAGCTGGCGCTAATCGGATTCGGCTGATGGGCCGCGCAAGCAAGTAAGCAAGGAAGACCAGTGATGTATTAACAGAACGTTTCTTCCATTTGTGTGCTCATTTATGTTCATATATGTCACATGCACTTTCCTTGCAGTGAGCCTTTTCACAACCTTCTTCTACGTATTCCCGAGCAATGACATCCTGCAACTCACAACCCATTGCCGGCGAATGATGCCGAAGCTGACGAGGAGTTGAGGGCGACCACGGCCACCGGATGTTCCGTGGACGTGGAGCTCCGCTGTTCCGAGGCATCTTCTGCTTTCTTGGTGCTGCGTTCATTTCATGCAGGTGTGTGTGTGTGTGTGTGTGTGTCGATGTGTCGGTGTCTGGACTGCTTTGTCGGGGTTTGACAAAGCTATGAGTCCTTGCCAAAGGTCCTTAAAGATACACCCCGTGTCACGTGTTTTGACATTCGAATCCTTTCACGTTCCGCAGTTGTCCTAGTTTGCAGCCCCGCCCTCTTTCCAGAACTTGTACAACAATCGCACGCAGCTTGTATTTAAGAACTCCGAAGCGATCCGCAAGTAATGCTTCTGGCGGCAGATGCGAAGGTTGGCTCGGTCTTCTTCGATTTAACTCGGACTGGAGAGCTGGGTGTTACTGGTGTTTTCTCCATGGCTTGCGGAGAGAGGAGCAACATTTCAGAAATCCTTGAATATCCGCCTTCACCCGACCTGCTAAGAATGAAGCACTGATGTTGTCCGACCTGCGCTAGCGTCTGATCAGGTGCAGTACGTCACACCCTTGTCCTTCACTTCAAAGGAGCCTGCTGTTGAGTGCGTAAGCCGGGGAAATCTTGGGATACACAGGTGACTGCCCAGAGATCTACCTATGCGTACGAACAGTTACTAACATCGAATATGTACATGCGCATTTCCAGGTGCATGTGCAAACACATCCATTCAGCTGGTCGGTTGTACTTCTTTATGTATATGTGCATCGATATATGTGGGAATGCATCTATGCAGGCAGGCAGGCAGGCAGGCATGTACGTATGTATGGATGTATGCATGCATGCAAGTCTCTACGCACACTCTGTGATCGGAGCAAGCTCATGTGGCGGCTTCGTTTGAAGATGGGAGCCTCTACTGCACACTACTGGCGTTTCTTGCCTGTGATCAGTTTGCTGCCACCGTGACGACTCTTGTGATTCTTCCCACCACACCCAAGCCTTAAACCTGGCAGAAGCTTGTCTTGCAGGAAAGTGAGTCCTTTTCCTTTCTCTTTGCCTTTGACCAGAGAGGTTACACGCAGACCGAGGCCAGACGACTGCTGAAATAAGGTCTGGTAGGGTCGTGGATGGTTAGGTTTGCCTTGTGGGCCGTGGTTTCGGTATTAGTTAGGGTTTAGGGTTTAGGGTTTAGGGTTTAGGGTTTAGGGTTCAGTTATCACGGGTTTCAGAATGTGAGTTGACGGCGGCTGTTGTGTAGCAGAGTCGGCTACGAGCTTCCCGTTCTGGCGCGCTCTGAGGCATCAGTCCTACTTACCCAGTGTAGTCCTGGCAGTCCTCTGCAGATAGCTGCACCTTTTTTACCCATAGGCCCCATAGTAGTTCCTTTTTGGGATTCCCTAATAGGGTTCTAAATATGAACCCCAAAAAAGGAACTACTTTAGGGCCTATGGGTAAGGGCCTCCTAACCAAGGCCGGGGCCTTTGAGGATCGACCACAGGGGCCTGAAGAACTGACCCTTCCAGATCTTCAGAAGCCATCATCTGCCGTTGAGTCCTAGAGGGTTTTATTAAGGGGTCCTGAAGGTAACATCTAGGGGTCGGAAGACTTAGTAATAGTGTCCCCTGATAGGGCTTCTGTAACTACCTACCATGATATCCTCCCAATACCCTCTTCGACTTATTGAGGCACTTCGCTGATCGTACGTCCATCCTCTATGCAACTAGTACGAAGATTCTGCACACGAATTTGGAGTTCTGCGCGCCGGCGGGCAGCGACTTGGATCCATGACTTTGTCCAGGCCGGACTCAGTATCCTGCAGACCCTCTTCATCTGCTTCGCTGTTGGCGTCGGGGCGATGACCTTCTCGACGGACCTTGGGTAAGTAAGGGTAGCTTGTTCAGAAATCTCCCAGCCTTGGCCCTTCTGTGCCCTCCCTAAAGGGCACCGATACTACAGAGCCCAGAGGACCTGGCCTCCCAGAGAGCCAGATGCAAACAGGCAGCAGGTTACCCATGGTCGTGACGGGGCCGGGCCTGCAGCTTCTGGTTCCTCTGTGTTTAGCATCCAAAGCTGGAGCAGAGTGAACGCACAAACCCTTGTGCCAGAACATGCCAACATGGCGTGACCCTGAAAGGACGCAAATGAGTTGCTTCTGAATCCCATCGCGCTGCCCTCAGCCGACCTTGTGCAAATTGAATCTTTGTCGGCTGGAAAGTCACCCACAGATGGCAGGTCTTCATGTTGAGGTTTTGAAGCCGCCACAGGAAAACTTCATGAGTTTGGGGGGGTGAATTTTAGCAGATAATAAAACACAGCCACTCAGCGATTTTCAAGGGGCAATCTCGAGCAGAGCAGTTAGAGGATTCATTCACCGAAGCATGGGCTTCCGAGCCTTCTTGAAGTCTGCTACAGGAGTCATGACCTTGGTATGGTCGTTAATGACGAAGAATCGCAGGAAAATGAGTCACTGCTACCCTGCATCTCGAGCAGTCTACAATCTCCTAACCCACCTGTAGTTGCGCAGTAATGATTTCTGGAGAACGATGAAGCATGCGTAATCAGCGAATTCATTTTTCAAGTCGGCGATTCATGACATGCTCTGCCGACTGCCGAGGAGCGCATGATTGAAAAGATGGAGACAATCAAAGACAATCCCCTCGAGGTGTGAATTCAAGCTTCCGGTATTTAACACGGTCAATTGTAGGGACCACCGAGCTCGGGATGCTTGTGCATGAGGATCTGCGAGTCATTCATGTGCGAACTCTGCATACTATAGTCTTACCACTAGCAGGTTTCGCACGCCAGCCAGGGTAAAAAGTTGCAGGGATGGGTTTTCCGATAGGTGTCTAGACTGTAAAAGACCGGGCTGTCGTTCAGATTCCCTTCAAAGCTTGCGGGTCCACTTCACCAGGGCCAAAAAACTGCAAGGCATATGGGAGGAGTCTCTATAGTCATTTCTTTTGAGGCCTTCGTTTCGAATTTCCTTGTACCACGTAAGCCCTGTGCCTTTTTTAAGACTAACATAAGGGCCTTAATAATTACCTATACTATTTTGGGGGGCTCCTTATTCTGATTTTAGTACAATGGGCGCCCCGAAACCCTATTGAAATTATTAAGGCCCCTAACTTCCCTAACATTACAACAGAGACAGGGGCAGATTGAGGTTGGGTTTGTCAGCTGGCTCTGGTCCTGGTGTTGGCAGTTGTGCTGCGCGGGTTTGTAGAAACAGGTTTGGAGAGGTTGGAACGTGCGGTTCATAAACTGCAGAGAAAGGAACGACCCGAGGGTCTTTTCGGAGCTCTCCTGGCGGACTCTTTGGCCCATGTACTCCTCCCGACATGCTTCCTGTCAAATTCATGGATATGTCCAGGTGTGTTTCGACAGTCGGTCTGTAGTGCGAGGTGAACATGTCCGCCTTTTCGAAAGAGACGTCTTTTGGAGCATCTTGTCTGATTGTCGCCCTGCTTCGCAACTGTTGCTGCGATCTCAATTGAACGTGCTCCCTTATTCCACGAGCCCCTGCGGACGAGAACAGATCAGAGCAGAAAGCATAATCGTGAAGCGAACATTAACATAGCACCCACAAGCCTCAGCGTCCCAGACTGAGCCGTGCGAAACGCCGCTATAAGTCCAGAAATCCTGACACAGCTCTAAACCTTAAGTCCTAAACCTCTTCAAGCCATGTAGACGCTTTGACGACAAAAGAAAATCCTAAACCCTCGTGTAAGCTCCGGAAAGAGCCAGGCGATGCGACTTGGGGACATGGAGTTCCGCAGAGAGGAAGTGGACGAGGCAACTCTTATTCAGCCTCTTTTCAGGTTTTGCTTCCCTCTGGGGTGGTTTAGGGTTCAGGGTTCAGGGTTTTGGCTTGAGGGTTTATGGTTTTAGGGTGTTGCATTTTACACGCATTGCAATCATAGCAAGTTGAATGTTCGAGTAAGTGCTTTGGCGCAAGCAAACGGCGATGCTTCCGAGGTGATGTGACACCACAGAAAGAAGGTGAACATCATCGGGGCCTGCATGATCAGTATGGTATTCCTCTGCGGCCTGCTCTTAGAACTGTCATATGCTACCACGGGTACTACAAGTATAGTAGGGTCATTATACTAAGCTCGGATGTTGTAGCCAAAACCCGAGAAAAAGGTTCGTTGCGTGTGCCAGGCTCACTTCCGGCAGAAGCTGGAAAAAATGAGCCGACCTTGGCAGGCCCCAGATCATCCGGGAGCGAGGTTTGGGGATTTAGGGTGTGGGGTTTAGGGTTTAGGGTGTGGGGATGCAGGATTTGAGGATCCGAATCATGCGTTTGTGTTTGCTTCAGGTTGGGAATCTGCAGTTTGCTGGCTTGAATATTCCACATGTACCCCTTGAAGACCCACTACGGTTGCTGTAGGAATCTGCCTATCTGACACGCACAGTTTTGATTTGTTCCTATCGCACTTATGTACTATGCTTTAGTGTTCTCTTGCTTCTATCGTCTCATAGCCCATGTGTGTATCTATATTTTCTGTCTTCCTGCCTAGCCATTCCTCTATCTATTGGTTGATCTGTCTGACATTGCTATCTGTCTGATCTAGCCACCTGCCCATCCATCTGTCTGTCCATCTATCTATCTATCTATCGATGGATCCATCTGACTATCTATCTATCTATCTATCTGTCTATCTATCTATCTATCGATCTATCTACTCGATTTCGAAGAGTTGACCCGGCCAGCTCCTCTACCAATACCGCCGGGCGAAGAAGCACAAGGACTGAAGCGCGGGAGATCCAGTGTTGACGACCTGCCTGGGGTCAAGTCCTAAGTTCAAAAAGGCCATGGGTTCGAAAGCCCTAATACAGGGGCCTTAATAAATAGAATAGGGGATATTCTACTAATTATGATTTTAATAAGGAGCCCCCAAAACCCCATTACAATTATTAAGGCCCCTACGTTACATCCCCGAATCCCCTGCACCAGTAGGCATCCTCTTGCTTGCGGAGCTGCTTTCTCTAACCTGGCTAGCAGGAGCCCATGGAGACAGTCATGCTAGAAAAGACGATCATCAAGCAGCCACCTCAGCCATTTCCGGACTTGAGGCCGGTGAGCTCCAGCGGAGGCGGAGGTGCTAAAACCTAAGAGAAGGAGAGCAACGAAGCTGCTCAAGACTTAGCAGGTTCGTTTGGCACAAGGTGGGACCCTGCGTTCGATTGTCCTACTAGCTGGACGCAATTCAAAACCGATAGGCTGGACCGGTAAGCTGGAATTACAAAAATTGGAATCACCTAAAGGCACGATGCCAACAACACCTTGCAAATTGGAATTCCCAGCTGCCTGCCAACATCCTTTCTTATCAACTAGAGTAACTAGAGTTCTCCATCCCTGTGGCAGCCGTGTCTCGGCACGGTCAATATATGTTGTTGGTTCCCCTTCTGTTGCTTCTGACTTTCCATGTGTTGATACTTGTGGAGATTTCGTGATCCCGCAGCTGCTACGGCGAGTTCTGCAGTGCTTGTTGGCTGTGCTGTTACCGTAAAGGTTGGCTGCTTTGTCATCGACGTTGATGTCGCCTCTTTATCGCTGCTATAACTGCTACAACATATTCTTTGCGAAACCCCAAACCCGAAACCCCAAACCCTAAGCTCTAAAACCCCCAGCCCTGAACCCCAAACCCTATAAGCCCTAAAACCCGAAACCTAAACCCCAAGCCCCAAGCCCTATAAGGCCCAAAACCCGTAACCCCCCAAGCCTCAACCCCAAAGGCCCTAAGCACAGCTCAGCCAGCCTAGGCTTGGTGGACTCTTGGCTTTAGGCTTTGGCGAAGCTGGGGCCGAGGTTATTGGCCAGAACATGAAGGCACGGACGGCAAGTACAGGGAAACATGGTTTCGGGGTGTTGGTATTGGTACTCTGCATCCATACCGATGACGGCTCTCCGCAGCATGCTCTCTGCAGCATGCCGTGTGCGAGGGCGCCATTCGGCAGACACGCTTAAGTTATTTTGGCCGGTCAATGCTTTCAACAGTGCCAGTGCAGTGGTTCGGCTGATACAGGATCACTGCAATTTCCTTGCCAGTGATATGCAGCAGCATGCTGGAGCGGCAGTGCAAACACTAACAAGCGCGATGCGTAATACAAGAAACGGCAAGGCATGTGCTAGCCACCTGCACACAATGACAGGGCTGCGGACCTCTGATCAGTAAGTGGCTGAACGGTGTTTGCTAAATTGGACTTTGCATGGTTCATGACTTTTCTTTCTCTGCAACCGACACGGCAAACAACTCCGCAAATTCCTTGCCTCAGATCTACCCCTCCCACTTCGACCAGAAAGTGCATAATTACATACAACTTTAGGCCCTTCAGCTCTGAACAAACCCTGGAGCCTGAAACCTGGAACCCCAGGTGAGTGCCACGGCCGGGGTCAACGCCATGGTTCCTGGCTCCAAGGCACGAAGTCTCCTTGAAGCTGACAGCCCGCCCTTTAGGGAACCCTTCCGCAGAAGAAGGGCAGTAATAGCGAAGCCAGGTTGATAACCAATATACTGCTCGCTGGGTTCCTAAATTCTATAGTTCTATAAGTTTCCATATACCCCGAAACCCCATTCAAATGATGTAGGCCCCTACATTCAGTTCCCTGCCTTCATTTGCACCTGGAAGGCGTCTAAGCCCAAACCCGTCCCCAACATCTTCCCTCAAGGCAACAGGCGGAGCACATGCCCCGAAAGGATCAAGCTTGCCATGGGATGTGGATAACATCCAGACTTCAACATGCAACTCTTTCGTCTAAAAAGTTCACGTTGAAGATGGATGAATGCCAACGTGTCTTTAGATGGCGCGGGCTTACAGCAGCACTGTTTTGGAGCGAAGTTCTTGCATGGCAACTTACAGGTCACGCTTTGAGAACCTGCCTGAGGTCGAAGCCATCATCGGCTTTTGCAACATTCGGAACTTCATGGCAGCGACCGAGGCCGGTTCTTGTTGCTTCAAGCTTCCAGGCAGTGGAAACTTGCCATTGACCTAGGGGTGCACCCGTTGGAGGGTCTGTCTGATGTTCATTCTTGCGTTTGCGCGCATTCAGGTCGGAGGCTTATGCTTACATGCACCAGAGGAAAAGTATCTGTGCCTGTCTCGAAGCTATCTTCTGTGTGTCTCGGAGATGCTTTGTGGATGATGGTCTACTGCTATGGTTCCGCGAAGTCGCACCGCATTATCTCCATGCCATCGTTGGGCAACTCATGTTTTGACTCCTGTCCGACATGGTCAAGAAGCTTGAAACTCGAGATGGCTTCGGCTCTGCAATGGCAGCCAGTCGTCTCATCTTCTGGTATGTTCTCGCCGTGGTACAGTGTCACATATATGCCGGTTTATGTGTGTATGTTGCATGCACGCACGCATGCATAAATGTATGGAGGTATGTACCCTTTCATTGTAATGTAGGTACGCATGTAAGCATGTGCGCATGCATGTACGTACCCATGAGTACGACAAACAAGCAATCAGCAAGCGCGCAAACAGACAAACAAACAAGCAATCAACCCATAAAAAAGCAAACGTACAACAAACAAGCAACTAAACTGACAGATAGATAAGACAGGTGGATAGACAGATAGTTGGATAAACAGATAAACGGGCAAGTAATCGATCAACAATAGTTGTTCATACTATACATTTTCGAAACCAGTACAGACGTGCGCGCACACACACACACACACGCAAATATATATATATATATATATATATATATGTATGTATGTATGTATGTATGTATGTATGTATGTATGTATGTATGTATGTGTATGTATATGTGTATGTGCACAAGCATATGCTTAAATATGTATACTGCTGCAGAATCCACACGCAGCAAGTGGTCCGCTAGTGTTCCATCCTGATCGGTTCAGTTGTGCAATGACCAGGTTCTGAAAGAGAAGGTGATGCTCTTCGCCGCATCCCAAGAGCGTTTTTTCCAGTCGGTACACGATGCTCCGTTGCAAGCTTTGTTGTCTCCGCTAGTCTTGACGGCCGCAGTATAGCAAGCCACAAGAGGCGGACAGATTCCATCGTGTCTGGGGGCCAGCAGCAGCACACAAGAGTACTTATTTGCACAGGCTTCGAAGTTCAGTAGTTGACTCTCGCTATAGTTCAAGTTGATGCCGGCAAGACATGAGGATTCCAAGTTTTGGAAGGGTGTTCTGAATTTGGAGGTTCCATGTAAGGCAACCTACATACTAGGAGCTTATCCCCACGTGCCTCAATCAGTTTGCACCAATCTTCACTCGACCCACACAGGTGAACCAGGTGGGTGAGATCGTCCACGGATGCCTTTGCCTCAGGGCCTGAAGGGCCAACCTTTCATCGACTGGGGGAGGGTCGAGGAAGTCAGGCAGGGCCCGTGAAGCACATTTTTTGAGGGGTTTGCATGCTGTCTCTAGACGAGTTGCAGCCGATCGTGAATCCGACCATATCCGACCTCAGCCGGAATAGCTCCAGGCGTGGACGACTTCCACGGTGCGCCAAATCGGAACATCGGCGATGCCTTCTTGGTGATCTGGCGGCTGACAGGCTCGATTTTCACCCGCCGCGTTTCCCATTGCTGGTGCACGGCCTCCTCAAGACAAAATCTGGCCAAATGGACGTCTTCGGACGCGGGATTCTTAGAGCCCCACTCGTGCCGAGTCGTGGAGGTCTCCCGGAAAAGCAGACCAAGCTGGCAGACATGTCCCTCATGTCCTTTGCCCGGCACTCGGCTTCCGGGTTGAGAGTCATCCGCAGTTCCGAGGAGCTAATTAATTTGCCCGGAGGTGATTCTGAAAAGATGGTTCTACAGCAGTGTATGTGTCCTGACTCCGAAGAGTATGATCCATCACGTTTGGCACAGCATTTGTCGTAGCACCTTCGCGCTTCCAAGTGGAAATTCATCAGAGGGGGATCGGATCGGCTTGTGAAATTGACACGGGAGGGTCCTTTCCTCGGGCAGAACGTCCTGGTGTGCTGGATTCACCCACAATCCTAAAGCCCGCTGTAAACTCAAAAAGCCCAGAGACCCACCTGCACCAAGGTGAAGATCATCGCGGAGATCAACAAGTGACAGCCTTGGAGCTTCGGAGGTACAGAACCATGGTAGTAACACTAGTAAGACTGGTCTGAGTACGAGTAGTGAGTAGTGATCATACCAATAAGACTTGTAATCATGGTCACAATCACGGTTACGGGGAACATCATGTGCCAGTTATACGGGTGGTTGTCAAAATTATGGTCCCTTTGTGGGTCCGTAATATACTACGGCACCTAATATTTAGGGTACCCAAAAAGGGACCCTAATTTTGACAACCACCCATAAGAGGCCTCAGAAACGGAGCAGTTTCCGGCCATGGCTACGCTCCGAGCAGAGTTTTGCTCAGCCGAAAACTTGACTAGAGCCTGCTATCCGAGACGTGGTTAGTTTGGGTAACGGTGGCAGTGGTGGTAATGGTCGTAGCAGCAAGTGCAGTAGTGGTAGCAGTAGCCGAGCAGCTGCTGCACTAAGTGCATCCATGTTTAGTAGCAGTCTAGTCGGTTGTTACTAGTAATAGAGCTGCCTACGGGCTTTCAGCCTTACCCGCGTTAGATTTCTTCAGGTCGCGGGTCATTGCTGCCTATCGTCAGCATCCCGGCTTCCAGATGCGAATACAGGAGCTTATTGCAGAAGAACGCGGAAGTCCTCGTGCCGAATCCCGCAACGTGCTAATTAAGTGTTACAGAAGTCATGGATAAACGTTGCCCTGAAGCGTCGTTGGTCTGTTGGGGGCAGCACTCTGCAATCGACAATCTCGAGCACCAGATGACAAAGACCTGTTGCAGCTGTCGGAGTCAGCGAGAGCTTCTTCATTTCAACTTGCCTGGAGGACTACCGGGTTACACTCGGGTTCGGCCTGCACTGCGGCTGGGCGATCGAGGCCTGGTCACATTGAATAAGTTATCATTCGTCGGACTGCACGCTCCTAGCGACTCCGTCGAGGTGCATCGCCAGGCAATGCCACGAGACCTTGTGCTTTATCACCTTCAGACTAGTGATTTGTGCCAGTTGACGGGGCAACCATGCATGTGAGCAGGGAGCCATCGGCAGCGAGTACAAGATCGATGCCTCCTACCTTTCTCCCAACGTCAACGTCGCCTCAAAGCTTGAGGCGCGCGACGTTGCGGCTGCAACTATACAAGACATTGAGCTACATTCGTGCCGTGTTTCCTCGTCATGTGAAGTGCATGTCGCTTTGGGAGGCCGCCACATCCCAGTTCAAGGTGTGGATGCTGCTGTCGCACAGCATGGTCCCAGCCCAACCTGCTCCGGATTTAAAGCGGCAGCTGGTGTCCTGCAGTCCACTGCGCTCATAGGTGCTCATGTTCAAGCAGAGATCAGATACAATAAATCCCTGAACCCTAAACTCTAAACCCTACCCTAAACCTAAACCCTAAACCCTAAACCCCTAAAAACCCTAAAAACCCTGAATCGTGTTTCATTGTGTCCATTGCTGTCCGCCCAGATATCCGAAGCCGCTTGCACTGCAGGTGAACATGTGCAGCAACGAGGCCTCGGGACTCGGAAACATTCTGGGAGTGTTTCCGAACATAGGGGGGTACCACTTATTTTGGGGGGTCCTTATAATAAGGGTCCTACTATTTAGGGTTTCGGGGGTCCTTATAATAAGGGTTCTACTATTTAGGGTACTATATTAGGGTTGGGGATCGGCACGCAACTTCTGGAAGGTTTGGAAGCTCGGTGCGACTCACTTGTGGTCGATGTTGTCATCACAATCCTTTAGATTCCTTGTTCATGTCTTTTTGGGACTTGCGACCTACATTAAGATTCCAGCACTTCTTGCATACACATACTACAATATTACAACATTGTACATTATATATATATATATATATATATATTAGATGTGTGTGAGTATGTTTGTGTGGATTATGTGTGTATACATACCTGCATGCATACATACTACCATATATACATACTGTCCTACCTGCTGCCTGCCTGCCTGCCTGCCTGCCTGCCTGCCTGCCTGCCTCAATGCATGCGTGCATGCATGCGGGCGTGCATGCCTGCGTGCACGTGTACATGCGTGTTTGCATGAATGACATGCGTACATGCGTACACAGATACATACATGCACCGCAGTATGTAGCAAGACTATACAATCTCGATGGCAAAAGAGCTGTATGTGAAAGGCACAAGTACATCCCGAGCAGGTAGCCTTGACCTGCAGACTCATCGACCAAGTCACAGTCAGCGGGTCGCGCAGCTCGGCTTGAGGAAGTTGAAGGTTCGTAGGACACGAGGCAATTCGGGGACAAGAGGACGCGATTTGAGACAGACTTGTGAACGTTATGATGGGCTCTGACGCGTTCTTCTTTACATGTTGTCGCTGTTCGCTTGCTTGAGGAATCCCGATGCGTGTGTACACCGTGGATCTGGACGTCTCAAGGCAGAACTGTCGAACCAGTTGTGAATCCTGAGCCTCGATTTGGGTTTTATTCGTTCGAGGTAAGATCTTCCCTTGAAGCCTCGCTCTTCCTTGCTTTTGGTCAGAGCTTCCGGAGAGTCAGCAGGATATCATGTGAGACAGGACAGACTGGACGGACCCCTCATGCTTCACTCGATGGCTCAGGAACTCGTGGTACTCCCATTGCCAGAATAATGATCTATAGTCTGACAACATGGTGCCTTGCCCTTGGTCGTAGCCTGCATTTCTGAACCATCTGTCCGACACCGCATGCAACGGCCCTTGCACACTCGTGAAGCGCAGTTTGTCTGTAGAGCCAGCGCAGCACCTCCAACGAACCATGGAAACTTCACTTCATATGGGTAGTTCTCTAAATTAGTGTCCCTTTATGGGTCCTTTTTATAAGGGTGCCGTACTATATTTGGGACCCAAAAAGGGGCCCTAATTTAGAAAACTACCCATCGACTCCTGAGCTCATCCCTCGCCTCCGGCGCAGGATCCATGTTGTCGAGCAAGGGCCTGATCGAATCATCAGGCTGAGAAAGCTTCGACCCTAACCCCCCCCTCCCCACCCCCCCCCCCC